TTCACGGCGTCGCCGAGGTGGTACCGGAACTACCTGGAGGACGCCCTCGCTTTGGGCGCCAGGCTCGGGTCGCAGTCAATGTTGGTGTGTGCCCTGTTTTGGTATGCGGCTGCCGCTGTGCGTGAAGGTAGCTACCGTGACGGTGACTACATTGGAGATACAATTCTGTCGGTTGGAGGCCACAACAGACCACACGTGGGAGAAGTCGGTGTCTTCCCCCAGGTCCGGAGGTAACCAGGTGAGGACTGCACGTGCGGCTTGCCGAACGCGGTCTCGGTGGGGGTTGCCAAACCCACTTCGGTTAAACGTATGCTAGCACGGCGAGGGAGTGGACTGGCACCACGCTGTGGATTCTTCGATTCCACTGTGCGTGGCGGCGGCTTAGTTGTGCCCGTGACATCGAATGTGTTGCGGGCTGGGCTCGGTGGAGATGAACCGGAGGGGTGTGGTGGGGAGGCAGCGGTCTTGCGGACGCCCCCAAGGTCACGTTTCGAGGTGATCGAACTACATTTACACGGTGCGAGCAAGACAGGCGCATTGCGTCTCAGCACCAACCTTGGCGGCCCCCTTGTCCGGTCTGTTGTTCTCCCTCTCTAGCCTGCGCTTGGCAGCGGCCTCGGCCCGTTCCTTCTTCTGCTTCGCGGCGGCTTCGTCAGCGATGGCTTCCTTCGCCTTCACCTCGGCGAGGTCCGCGGCATCCGCACGGCGGACGAATCCCCTAGACACGAGAAGCTCGTGCATCTGATCGAATGGTTCGTTCGGCGCAAGAGAGAATATGTCACACCCCGCAGCACGAGAAGCAAGCAGAAACGTGACAACGGGAAGGAGGAGGGGGTCACAAGGCTGCTCTCTTCACTGTGTGCGAGAGGGAAATAGGCGAGGTTCTTGAACACGATACTCTCTGTTCAACGCGAGCTACATGGGAGAAGATCGGGTTCCACAAATTCACGAGAGGGTTGAGAGAGAACGTCCGACAAACAAACGGATGAACGGGCACAAGCAAATCGATCTTGAAAACTGCAGCGTACACGGCCCAAACCACGTGCTCGGAAACGTTTTGTTTGTCGCTCGTGTCCGAACGGAGACGCCGAAGTGACGCATACCAGGCCGATACAGTTTGCCAAGGAGTCCACGTAGAACAGCACAGCTATGCATAAAGGCTGAGGAGAAAGCAACTCGTTGCAGTTTTGACGTAGGGCGGGAAACAAAAAAATCTCCGCCTGGGACAAAGTCATCACGAGTGGCGAAGATACCTACTTTCATGGCCCTCGCCTTCCGTTCGTCGCACGCAACATCCTCATCACATCACGTCATCGATGGCAAACCTACGAGAGTGCTTCCATGGCCCTCGCCTTTCATTCGTCGCAGACGACATGTCACTACATCACCTCATCGATGGTAAACTTCTCGAGGTTGATGCTCTCCGTCTCCTCCCCGGAGGCCTTGTCGAAAAGGGTCAACACCGGCGGCTTGCCGGCCTTGAATTCTACCTGGGATTGGAAAGCAAGCGAAAGAGAGCAACCAAGACAACGAGCGAGGGATGAATACGCCGGCCACAAGGGAAGCGGTAACTATTGTTGTCGTGGGGACATCCTCGTGGCATAGGGTATCACGGAGAAGGAAACGGCAGGTCGGGTGCGTTGAGGATCGCACGACCTTGCGCCGCGTACACGACACCAGTTCCTTGGCGGGATTCCCATTGGGTCCATCGGCGGAACTCACTTCGATATCCTCGTAGCTTGCGGCGTGCTCGGGATTCTTGAGGAATTTCTTGGCCTCGGGGAGCTTGTTTAGTTTTCATCCGGAGCAGGACACGATGTGGCCCCTCATCGCCGCCGCTTGGGCGCAAGCCCGGGACACGAAAAGTGCCCCGATCACGAACGCGAAAAGCTTCATGTTCACCCCTTGCATTCCTAGCGCACCTGCGAAATGCATCGGGGGAGGGAGGAGGTCTAAAGTGTATCTCGCTTCAACGGTGATGTTGTCCAGGTTGATAAGCAGTTTCGTGTTTGAGGTTCTTACATAACGCATGCTGGCTATCAATTTAACTTGATCGGCAGGCCTAATCGCAACCTCTACAAGGGATTTCTCGCGTGAAGTTTCGCACAGCTACTCCATATTGAAAAGAGCTGGCCCTGTTTGAACGGCTGTGCTCCGGTCACCTTCCACACCTCGCTGCCCAATGGACTCTATCGACTACCTAGTGCATTCGCGTCTGCTACGACTACCGTTGATTGATGCCGGTGGCAGTGCTGTCAGGTGTCCGATCGTTTGGAGGTACTGCTGTAACAGGGCGAGCGTGTGTGTGCGTGTTCTCCGCCGTTGGTGTTGCAGCATTTTGACACTCGAGCGGGGAGCTGGCTGCCTGGAAAAGCGTGTCTCGCACCAAAGCATCGCAGATAGACTATTGTACTGTTAGGTATTGAGTCGCCGCGGCTCATTACCCCTCCCTATTCTAGTAAATAGTAGTCCTTGTCTTCATCAAGAGCGTAGGGGGGCAGGAGGTTCTCAGCGGTACCGCAATGCAAAGGCCTCGCATATTGCAGCGTTCCACGCATACCCGGCGTGAATGTTAAGAGCGTGACGAGCTCTGCGCAAGCAAGTAGACGCAGTCGCGCGCCGATCGAACTACACCTTGAAGAATCCCGCACCCACCCATAACAGGCAGAACAAGGAGTCTCTTAAACATCTGACACAACAGAGACCAAGTTGAAGAGACAGAGGAGAAACATGTTGGAAAGGCAGGTGCTGAGCTCTCTGCCCAACTCTACTATCCGCGTCCGCCGGACTCTCGATCGATGGTGATGAGGACGTTCATCAGACATCTTGTAACATAATAATGAGCCGCGGAGCGCGAAGCGCGGCCGTTCTTTTCCCTCTGTCCGAGGAGGGAAAAATCAGGCTCTATTTACCAGGGGCCCAAGTTCCAGCAAACGACCGCCTGAATTTTCCATCCTTTTGGACTGTAATAATAGCGCGAGGGCTATAGAGCACCGATTGACGACCTGCTGGCTTGTGACGACAAGAAAAATAGGGCGCTCTTCACCACACCGGTTTGGTCGTACTCCGACAGCAGATGGTCGTGCTTCACCCGCATTTCTACCCAAAAACCATAGGAGATACTCACGCGGGATCACCCCGATCCCCGCGGAGTTGTACAGGAAGTGCAAGCCAAGCCACCGTAGATCTCCAACACACACACGTAGTCACGCAGTTGGAACAGAGGAAGCACTCAGCTAAACACGCAACGCCGCTGGGAGGGGAAGACAGCACTGGCGGGGGAAGGAAGCCATACACAGAGCTCGTGGTGGATGTCATTGTTATTGCTGCTGCTTCGATGTGTGGGGAGGGGTCACCTGGAAACAAACCAGTGCCTGTCACGAGAAAAAAGGACTTCTTGTGGCGTTTTTTTTTTTTTGTTCTCTCGCATGCATGCATTATGCCGACTCTCGCCACCACAGCTTCCGTAGGTCCTATGGCCCCGTGTCCTCTATTAGCCGCCACACACAAGACGTTGCATACACACAGCTTTGCAAATGCTGCTACGTTAATTGCTGCTGCGTTACTCTGTGCAGAGAAACCATCGAAATCCGAAATCAGTGGGGGGGTCGTACGCACACGTCTGCCGCAGGTGACGTAAGATACCACAACCCCTGTACCGATTATTAAAGCTCGAGCACTCCACGTCGAAGATGATACGTACACCCAGCAAGACGTTGTCGGAAAGCTCTTGACGAGACGGTTCCTACATCAACATTATCGGCACCGCCACTCCGGCCGGGAAAGAACGCGTCCGCGCCCATTGGCGTGCCACGGCGAGGGCGCGAAAGCTATGCTAGCCCTGCTGGCGTTTCCAAAGGCTTGCACCCACGCCCTGGTCGGCTCGTTATGTAGTTGTACAGCAGCGCCTAACCCCACTTGACTACCGTAGGTGATACAACCACACGTACATAATATACCACACCCTTAACGAAATTGTACAGAAAACCACACCCGTATGATAATTTTTTGCGTCCTGGAAAAAAATATCGATTTATCACACGGTCACAGAAGATACCACACCCCCCAAGTTGAGCGGAAAACATATATCGCGGAGCCCCCTATCACACCGGTGTGGTAGGCCGTTATCACGCAAATAGCGCACGCCGCAACCCTGCACTCCAGCTATGGCGACCGACAACACCACGGAGATGAACGAAGCACACAACACTGCTCAAAGCATCGCGGCTCAGACTCCAGCAGCAGCTGCACGCCCAATTACGTCGTTTTTTCTGAGGCGCCTGAGACTCGCGCAGCACCCGGTGTGCCTGGCACCGCCCGAGCTGCCGAGGCCCGCGCAGCAGAACCTACTGCTGACACTCCCCCAAAAACACCTGCTGTGCCTGGCACCGCCCGTGCTGCTGAGGTCCGCGCAGCAGAACCTACTACTGCTGACACTCCCGCAACAACACCTGCTGTGCCTGGCACCACCCGTGCTGCTGACGTTTACACGACACCACCCGTAACCCAGAAATCTTGTGGGAGCACTTCATGATAGGTGTAACGTTATTAAACCCCATGATTATCATACCCCTCGTTATCTCACACGCTGTACCCCTCGTTATCTCACACGCTGTAGATTGGGTTGTGTGGGCGCACTTCTTCCCATGGGTGACATTTTCACGCCCCATATTTTGTCACCCCCCCTTGTTACCACACACACCTCCGCAGGTGGGATCATGTAGGCGCAGTTCATTCCATGGGCGACATTATCACACCCCCTTTTTATCACGCACCAAAAAAAAAAAAACGTCTTATCATACCCCCTGCGGGATGGAATCCTCTGAGAGCAGTTTATCACATGGATCACACGAGATATCACACCCCCTCCAGAGTACCACACCCGTGTGATAACTTTTGGGCCTTCAAAAATGTTATCACACGGGTATGGTATCTTGTGTCACCTACGGTACACGTGCACAGCGTAGCCCGGATTGTGTAGACTACACAATTTTTCACATCCCCCAACGTGCTCACGTGTAGACGTGCAAATCAAGGGCATATCGACTGAGTGCATAGCATGCCCAACGAAAGCTTACCGGGTACAAGAACACAAGCTTGCACTTTGTTGCACTGGCGGCAGCATACTGCTGTAGACTCACGGCTCACGACCGGACGCGGATCCGCGGCGTTTTGAGAGGTTCCGCCGCGTTTCGAGGCATCGATGCGCGAAGGTCTACATCGGCTTTCATAGATACCATCCACAATTCTAGAATCGATATTTCAGGTCTAAGCTTATCAAATTCTTTACTGTCCAAGCGCTGGTTGGTTTGGTCCACTTTAATCGTTGCAACACGGCGTCAAAGTTCGTCTCCCGGAGCGGCAGGACAACAGTGTGTACAACAGGCCGCAGAGGCCAAGACTCGAGACTACATACCCCCATCCAAGGAAAACATTGCCCTTACAAATTACTCACACCTGTAGTATGTGATCTTCTTGAGCTTCTCGCCAAGTTTTGTCTCCGTCCTGCACCTGAGCGTCGAGTACTGTCGTGCGGAAACACCAGACACCACGTGATGGTGCTGGGGGTGCAGTGCGGCCGAGTGCAGCCCAGGGGCTCAGCGTATTGTCTTGGTCATTTCGATTCTCCGTCGCCCCCGAGACAAATGTTCCTCGTCCTGTTGTCCTGTTACACACCTGCCTCGTCCTGCGTCTGTTCTCCTTCGTATCAGCAACCAGCGGCATGCCTTGATGCGCATGGGGCACAATCCTAGCGGAGGCTTGGCGGTTTCTGCGTGGGTTGGTGACTCGCGAATTGTATCCCATCGAACAAATCAGCAGGTCGAAAGCGGCCGATCTTCACATCTTCTTGAAGGCGGATAAAATGGCTGCGGATGATATGCATGTGGCGGTTGAGCAAGTCAGCAGCGATCGAGGTGAACCACCAGGGCAACAGAGCGGCTCCCACGCCAACAACAACGCCAGGGGGTCCCCTTTCATGGTCAGTGGGGAGATTTTCTTACGATCGGCGCAGAACACGTTGTTCTGCCGCAGCGCCGATCCAGTTGGGGTGTCAACAGCAAGATCCGCACCTGCGACAAACAGAGCGACGAGGTGCAGTGGCAGCGGTGCGTCGGGAACACTTGCCGCTGCCTCCTGTACTGATAATAGTGCACCGGCGGCCCCTAACAATGTGGGCTCTGGCCATCCTTCTACGGGACTCCTTGCAGGACTGTCTGGAGAGCTGCGCGATCTCTTGCTCTGCCATCCCGAGTCCAACGCGGCGGAACCTGGCGGAGCAGTCGACCCCGCCGACGGTGGCCTGTGCGGGCTCGTGTCGAGCGTGCGGGAACAGCGGCGTTCTGTCAGACGGCGAAGGGTCGACTACCTCAAGACCTCGAAGGCGATCGCGGGATCCCTTGCGACAGCACGGTTGGCCGCGGCTCAGGCCGCGGTGGGAGGGTATAGAGAAGGGTGCGCAGAGAGTCGCGCGCAGCTAGACTGTCGTCTGGGCGGCCTTGTGCTCAGGTGGGGATTACTGTAGGTCGTGGTAAACATCGTGGCTTCTTGAGGTCTTGCTCAGACCGTCGTGTAATCAAGAACCGCATTTCCCTGATAGAGGTACCTCTGCGAGATTGGTTGGTGTGTGCTCTTCAGCAAATAGACAGATCTACTGCAAAGAGTACAGCAAATATGAGCAAACATGAAAATAGCGCGCTTGCCAGACCTTGTGACAGATGTGTGGACGTAGACTGCGTGTAGGCGTGAGTCTACAACCATGAGTCTACAACCATGAGTCTAAACCAAGTGCAATTTGGTTCATATGTAGATACGTGAGAAAAACATGTCGTATGCGTACATTGCTGTTGTTGTATCGTTGAGCCGGGTTAGAAACAGAGTGCCAGCAAGGCTCGTGCGCTCTGCCTGGTCAGCTGTATTTCCGTCGGTCACCGACGAGTAAGTAATACCTCCCGAGCCGTTCTTTAAAAAACGGGTGCCTTCTACGACACCAAACACGCTGTTCCGGACACCGTCCTTGAACTGTTCTAACCTTATCTTGGAGTTAACCCAATAGCATTCCTGCGAACGGTTATAGGAAACGTGTGCCCGTTCCAGGAAACATCAACATTCTACGACCCTTTTGCGGAATCTACCGCATCCATCCGTGGATTGTTTTAAGGCACTTTCTTGTCCAGTAACAGTTGAAGCTATCGACAAAGGCGTACATCACGTATACTGAAACCGGTATTGCTTTGTGCCACGACATTCTCATACTGCATGTGGCATCGCCTACTTGAATTTTATGCATTTAAGATGCCTGCAAGTCTGATATTGTTAACAGGTTGCTTGTGGTCCATGAACATGATCAACCACGGTGTTTTTCGCCATTGCTGCTTGCGGCCTCCTTCCATCCGCTGGGCTTCAGCTCTCGACGGCCACCGCCCACCTCTGCCGTCCGCGTGAATACAGCTTTGCAGCCGCAGCCAGTGCAGAAATGGGAGCGGAAGACGCTCAGATGGCCGCCGAAGGCGAGCTTTGCAGGAGGGAGGTGGAACGGCTCGAGATATCCGGAAGACTGGCCTCGCTGGCCACTACTGCGGAGCATCGAACGCGAGGTGCACAATACTCAGTAGTTCTTGAATTCGCTTTTTCATGATATCGATATAGTTTGCACAGTGTTATTTGTTGTCAAACAGCCCCGAAAGAGCCTTTTTCTGCATTCCCGTTGTCACCGATCTGAATCAGGGTGCGTCGTGCTCAGGCGTCTGCCGCCTACCCACCCGCAGCACGAGCGGTGTTTGCGCGCAGCGACGGAGAACGTGAGGCCGGGTTTCTTTTCGAGCGAGTCACGGTACGGAGCAGTACGCGTGCTGGACATCTACAAGGTACAAAGGTGGTCAGCTGGGCTGTTCACCCATAGCATGGACGTGACTGTTGCAGTGAGAATGTAGTGGCTTCACGCTCAATAGCCGACCCGGTTAGACGTCATACTTATCTGTCCTCGCTCTCGTTTACGACTCTATGATTGCTTCTGTGTTTGGTTGACGTTCTAGGCAGGGACACGGCTCGAAACCTTGCCTCGCTCGCCAACAGCCTCCAATGTTGGCCCCGGTCAGTGAAACGTCTCCATCCACTGTGTTGCACTACCTGCACCCTCTGCAGGCGTGTGCTTTGCGTCTTGTCTGCACGTGGAAGTGCACACCGTGGTGAGGAAAACGCCAAATGTCCTGCCTTACTCGTGTGCGCCCCACCGTTACTCTCAGATGGAGAACAGGTTCTTGTTGGATAGGTTCCAACGTGCCGCCGAAGCGAGGGAACCGTGCAAGGTCAAAGGACTTTTCTGTCACGTTCCCGATGCAAGTCTGGAGCACGTCGTCTTGTATGGAATGGGCGGCACTGGCGCGCTGATGGATGAGTGCGGCGGTTACAGCTCTGGTTCTGCTTCAAAAACAGACGGCAAGGCGGGTCTTTTGCCTACGTATGACTGGGATCTAGATCCGATTGATTCCTTTCTTGGCGCTCCGACGGTCGGAGTGTCTGGCGGAAGAGAAACTTCCGGCGGGAACAATGGCAAACGGCCTTTGGAGTTTCCGAGAGCCTTCTCCCGCCACAGCACGCTCGAAGAAGAACGCCAGTATGCCAACAGGAGCAGCTGTGGGTGCGACGATGAAGACCGTGGGATGCGGCAACACCACGCGTCCTGGTCTCTGCCGTCTTCGGGCTGTCATCCGCTACAGCGGCAAAGACGGCACCGCGTTCCTGGCGATGGGTCGCACGAAGACGGGCAAGAGAGGGGTGCTGTTTCCGGTCTTCGTTTCCTCGCCCTCTGCCGCGTGATGATTGGAAGCACGCACGTGGCGGCAACCACTAGCCCTGCCACGTGGGGCCAAGGCAAGGGAAATGGCGGCACCCCGCCCCATGACCCCAAGTCTTTGTCCCCGCGACATAGAACGGACTCAATCGCCCTGCAAAAACGGCAGCGGGCGTCGTCTCCTCGCTCTGCTGGGCGTCCTGCTGATGAGTTCTCTCTCCCGACCCCTCCGCCGGGGCAAGCGGAGTTTGACTCGGTTTACTTCCCCCGAGAGGAGGAGTATCGAATACTGAACGAGGCGTTCGTATTGCCCGAGTTTCTTGTCGTCCACCGGTTTGTTGCCGCTGAGCCGCCGTCGGGGCCGACCGTGAATACTGAGGGTCATGACCGTCATTCCCCTCGCACCAACGCAAGCTGCGGTGTTGGTAATGATGATGTTGCTGTTGCCGTCATGACCGGGGGACGCGAACAGGATCAACCAACGGCTGGTGTCCACCCCGTGCATGGAAAGAAGGGGGCGGAAAAGGTTTCCGTGGCCGGAGGAAGGTGCAAGAGAGAATATCAAGAGCAGGGCCGGTGTCGTTTCCCCTCAAATTGTGCCAAGGGTGTTGCGACACCATCGTCAATGCCGCCGAGACTGCAAGACGCTGCATCTGTAGTGGAAGGAATAGAGGCTGCAATGGAAGGCCTGGCCTTGCCCCAACGAAACAACTTCCGTCCGTACACTGTCACTGGCAATGATGGTGTTGGTGGAGGTCCGACAGCCCGGGAAGCAGTGGCGCCTCCATGTATTTCTCCTTGCAGCAATGGCTGTAGGGGTGATGCTTCTACCTTAACTACGAGCCGTGATGGCACCGTGGTTGGGGGACGGGCGGGATCGTTGTCGACAACGCCAAACGTTGACCGTGGTGACGTGGGCACAACGAAAGGCAGCAGGCGGGAGAACGAACGAGCTAGACGAGACTCAATCGTGTGCAGCGTCGAGCAAGAATGTATGTTCATCCACCCGGTTTTCGCCGACCTTTGTCCTATGCGGTTTTTCTTTTTTTCCTACCCCCCATCGCTCGTGACAGAAATGACCTGGAATCCGCTCGCGCGGCCGGGAGTGTCAACTCACCTGTCCGACTCTATTTGTCGTGTGTTTTGTGCTGTTTGTTCTGAACAGTCCCGGCGTCAGATGCTTGTTCGCCGCTGCTTGTTTCGTCGTTTTCAGTAAGGGGCGTTGTCGGGTAGTGTACTCAGAAACATGATATGTGGGACAAGAGCTTGAGATCGGTCAGATTACGTGCATTGTAGTGGTTGCAGGTAGCAAGTGACCTCCCCCCCGTTCCCTCCCCTGCCCTTCCCCGATGTCCTCTTCGCATGATTTTAGTCGAGCGCTATTGGCAGGAGATGAATCGGCTACGGGAGCTACAGAAGAGCGAGGTTGTGAAGGGAGCGTTGTCAAGGGGAAAGTTGAGACAGCCACCATAGCTTGGGGCGGCCAGGTTCTGCGTCCTGCTGTCAGCTGCTAAAAGATTACGTGCTATGGCCATTTTCGCTCGTGTTGTTCAGAGCTTAGAAAGGAGGTCGGGATACGACTCGCTGACCGATGGGAATCGTAATCGGTTCGAATAACCATTTCGAGACAACTAGGATGTGATTTTCGTACAGCTATGGATGGGATTGCACACATGAAAGAAACACAGCTCATGGGTTTCTCGCCACAACATCCATTCGTGACAATCCATTGACCTCTGCTTGAAGGTGACGACGAAGGGGAGAACTGAGCCTCGACCCAGGACGCTCCATTTGTAAGGGCTCAGCAGTTCCTCCCCGCTTTGGGGGTTAGTTCATGACTGCTGTGTTGTTTCCATCACTTGATTGGGATTTTTTTACTCCAGAGAGAGAAGAACCCGCAATCTAGAAAGTCAGAGGGTAACGAGGTTGCCAAGTGGACTGCATAGCGACCAGCGCTGTACAGAGAGCTGAATCAGCGGTAGGCTACCTTCCAGCTCCGAAATCACATTAAATCACGTGTCCTGGAAATGGGTCAAGAGAGACGAGGATCGGGCTTGGGGCCACACACGCGGGCCTTTCAGGGTAGGATATGAACAACAATCAATGCCACCCACCGGTGACGCAAAGAAACTCTCACGCGGTTATGGAGTGACAGACCAGACATGGATAGGGCAAGAAGCACCTCGCTCGTAAGGTCCATCACAGTCACACAACATCCACATAGCCTCTGGAGGTCCCGAAGATCACTGATGTGTGTCCGAGAACCCCCACAATTACCAAGTTCTTGTGTCACCTCATCTAGCTGTTCGGGGCGCCAATCCCCCAAAATTGCCAAGTTCTTGTGTCACCTCATCTAGCTGTTCGGGGCGCCAGTGTCCTACACCCTTGGGTGCATTGCGCACCCGGGTCACACTTAGTATCTACTTCTATCAGTTTTTCCTTTGTCTCAACCTTTTTTTTTAGAAATCTTTCCACCTGCGGTGCTTGGTTTCAATGATGAACTTGAGACGGGTTTCAGTAGTAACTTCGTCTCAGATCTTCTCTCAACAACAATACCAGGCAACTTCCCATCCTACACGATCATGAAGCGTCAAGCGACATTTATTTACCTTTTCCTTTCCCTAGGAGCAAGCTACCATGTACGGCTTGTTCTCCTCCATATTCATCTGTCCATACTAGTCTAACACTGGACGCGCGGTCGATTCCCGTGGTCACAGGCTACATACCTTGCGCAATAAAAAACAAAAAACGTACTTCAATAATACAAATGGACCCAAAGGGTCCCCAAGTCAACACTTCATTCAGTAGAAATCATACAGTTAGCCTATGAGATAAACATGGACTGGAAACCAATACCACGGGCCAGGTTTTTTCCCTGGTTCAATCTTGGTACTTCACAGAAGAAAACAGAGACGATAATTTGGAAAGGAAAGGAAAAGAAAAAGAAAAAGAAAAGATGGGGTGCATATGTTGCAGCTGCCGGATTCGAACCCAGGATTTGAAACATGGAGCGGTCCAAGCTCGAATCTGGGGCGTCGATTTCGTGGCATATGCTGCATGTATCATACAAACCCCCTTCAAACTTTGTTTTTCCGCTCGTCATGGTGGCCCTGCTAGCCTTTCCCACGCACATTGTGTTATTCGGACTCAATGGACACGACAGATGTCAAAAATGTGGGCAAAAATGTCAAAAAAAAAAAAGGGTGAAGCTGCGGTTCAATTTGTTGACCGGCGGACAAGTGTACCAGTGTCTGTCTGCGTGCGCGGCCCGAAGTGCGAGGTCTGTGTGCGTGCGTGAACCCACGGTAGACGTGCGTGCGCTGGCCCTGTAATGCGGTGACTGCGAGCGCAGGTGAGCGCTACACTACTTCGTGCGCTGTCTACTCTTTTTTACGCGTAGACTACAATAGTGCAAGACTAAGACTAATGGAGGCAGCCTCCGCACCTAGGAACGTCTAGTCTTCTTGCGGGGGCTGGGGTAGTGGCTAGGGTACGGCCGCTAATTAATATAGACGAGCTCACACATGGTACTCAAGTTCTTAGATGAATAACCTGTTTGACGTGTTGGCACTGATCAGCCGGTTAGCGCGGTCGATGCTAGTAGTAAAGACACATGCACGTCGTCGAGACTGTCCATCGCCCGTTCACAGGTTTCCTGCAGTAACAAGAACAACATTCTGTAGATTACGAACTGTACTACTGACGACGTGGCGGCTCGCTGCATTCATTGAAACTTCGCATGCTTCCATTAAATAGGACGAACACAACATCAATAACAACATGCTTCCGCAAGAGCAGTTTCGGCATAAAGTACCTTAAATTGGATTGTACCCCATGTGTATGTATCGGTTTCGCCTCTCGTCACACGACAAGGGAGTGATTCTGCGCGTCTCAGGCCTACCAGGGAGGTTTTCCCTTCACGACGCAATCACACGACGACACGATGATCCCAAACAACACGATATCGTGAACAGTCTGTACATTCCTGATGGGTGTCCTTCGATCGTTTCTTCGCATGTCGACATCTATCTCTGCTTGCCTTTCGTCGCCGCAGGATACAATCCCAGCAGAGACGCAGCGCCACCGCCAGGCAGGAGGTTCTTTCCCTCAGGGCTCGCTTGCAGGTACAGATGTACGTTGATTATGTAGCCCTCCCGTTATTCGACTGTATCGCCGACTGGCTACCCTAGGCTTCTGTAAACGCGCACGTCGAGGCTCGCGATTGCCTCCTCTTGTCGCTAGTGCAATATTGATGTCATGAGGTAGTTGACACGCCCTCCCTGCGTGTTTGTTTTTGGTGCGCTCCCAAACTAAAACGAACACTGCCGACTGTCGAGGCAGCGAAAAAGTGCAGCTCCACGCGCGTCCCGCATGCTTGGGGTGTGAGTTGAGCAGATAAATCAGATGGTCTGGGGCAGCTGAATCCGACGCTTGTGGTGCCTGCAGTGCTAACGTTGTTAGCCTGGGCGCGTTGCTTAAACGAGAACTCACTCCAACACCTTGCTCGTTGCTCTTTAAGGGAGATATTTCCTCCTTCTTGAGCACACAGAGTCACGACGACATACTCGCATGACCAGTAGACGAGCAATGAATAGTTGCTGCGACGTTAGTGTCCCGAACAATCTTGTCAGGGCCTACAAGAATAGGGGACAGGCTATCCCACATCCTGAGGAGGGGAGAGGAGCGACGGGTCGGGGCTGGAGCAGCTAATCGAGGCATTCCGGTCAAGTGAAGCCAGTGTGGTGGCCCGAGTACAGGCAGCTCGCTAGAGAAGAAGGATCGCTTAGAGACCCGGCCGGCACTCCTTCTACCCCGGCCTCCTCCAGCATGCTCTGGAACTATGCGGGTTCTGTCCAACTCGCCGCTCAAGTTTGGCCTCTTAGGGTGGCGGCGGGAGTGCCGGCGGGGTGGTCGCGCCTCGATTCTCGGGCTGGCAAGGGACGGGACGGCGACAGGTTGGCCCGCGGCAGTGACGGAGGCCGACGGGTGGCGATGTCGGCAAGAACAGCAGGAGCGGCAACATTGCTCTGGAGAAGGAGAGGGAGGCGAGAGCTCTCTCTCCGGGGGTAGGAAACGTGAGGGGCGGGGAGGGCATTTGTTGGCGGCAATGAGGTCGGAGACAGCGGGAGCGGAACGGTGGTGAGGCGGCAGCAGGGGGAGACCCAGCGGTATCACAAGGACGCTCGCCTCCTTCCTCGTCACAAGGCATAGCACCAGGCGAAGCGGAATCAGCCGTGTACTACTTCGGGGCGGGGGTGCTCACGACGGACGACGATGAAAGTGACGGCGGCGGGGCAGTGGTGTTGGTAGAGGAGGCGTTGTTCGGGGAAGGGGAGGGAGGGCAGGGAGGTGGGGGAGGCGAGAGAGGCCAGGTGCAGGAGGAAGAGGAAGGGGAGGGGGACAGAGGGTTTTCCGATCTGGAAGAATATATGCAGGGATTCGTGCGAAAGGAAAGCCAGAAGTTGAGAGAGAGCGTCGTGGCTGGGCCGTTGGGAGATTTGGTACTTTGGTGGAACACTCGGTTCAAGTGAGGGAGGGGGGTGTAAGGGCGAGGAAGGAGGACGGGGCACACATGCACGCACCCCGCCGTGGATTGGCGTAAAACGCGCGGTTACCTGCCGAGATGGAAGTTGTCTTGCCGTGATGCACTATGGCGGTTGCTGTCGTTCAAACTTCCACCGCCATAGAGGCAGGTGGAAGTTTTGCCTGTTGTTTTTGTTAGTGGTACATGTAGTGTTTTTGCTTGATCAAATCAACAACAACACCTGTGAAAGTCGAAATTAGGAGCAGCGGACCTTTCCCTTCCCTTTTACTGCTTTGTTTCACCGTACACAACTGCTGAAATGTAAAGGAACAAATGTATTTCTGTGGGGTGCATCTTACCGTGTAGCTTTGGTCACACAACTGGGCTGGCTCAGTTAGATGCAACCTCCCGAAAACCCTCTGGATGGCGTAGGTTTGGAACGTGGGATCTAATCTGGGCGCGGTCATATGAGGTGGGAAACTGTCTCGCAATATGCCCGAATAGTATTTTTGTGTTCGTTCCATGCAATATGCCCGAATAATATATTTGTGTTCGTTCTAAACTACACAAACACCTGTTTCGGCGGGTTTGCACTTGGACTACAGTACTACAGCAGTACATGTAAACGTTTTACTTTATTACCGCGTATCAACCGGGGGGTTTTGTGTCATCCCATTCCGTCGGCCTCTTTCATTTCGGTACATTTAATTATTATCTGGACACGCCAGTGGGAGTCACACTGGAGGAAGGCCGCGCAGAAGGTTTCTCTCAGCCTTCTGCCTTGCTTGGCTCAATTGTGTTCGCGAGAAACGTTAGCTGTTCCTTTCCCGCGCCTGCCGCAAAGTCGAATTTTCGAACGTTCGGCATGATGCACGTAGTTTGTTTTCGCTTTTTTTGCACACATACACCACACGGTACTACTGTAGCCTTTGGGAATTTTGCGACGAAACACCTCACATTGTGTGGCTGCACCGAGATCCAAACCTATGTCCCCAAAGTCAGAAGGTGGCGAGGTTACCTCCTACTGAATCTCTCAGCCGCTGTTGTTGCGTGAATGTTGGGATGTTGCAAAGTGGAGAAGACGGAAAGACGGGGGGAGTTTTTCGTGTGTACGCACGTCGACTGCACACCGTGCGTCCGCGGCGACAAAGGAAAGGAAAAACACCTCATCCTTCTCACGAGACCAATAATTACGTCTCCCTTCGCCACATCCTACGGTTTGCTGCTTGACCTCAACACGCAAGCGCTGAGGAGATGACCTCCTCTCTCGTCGCGGAGGAAACAACAACCAAGGCGACCGTTTCAGACTGGTTCTTACGTACGCCTTCATTTTCTACCCGTTGGAACACCCTCGAATGCAACTCTAACTCCAAGTCAAAAATATCGTGACGACACCCCTCTGAGTATATAGGGATTCATCCCAGCCGGAGGTCCCCTTTGCAACTTTTTGTGTGGCCTCGCCCGAGCCTCTCACAGCAGGGAGCAGTAGCCGCACACCCAGCCCTTCAGCAGCAGGATGACTGTCAAGAGGAGGAACCACGGAAGGAACAAGAAGGGCCGCGGCCACGTCGTGCGCGTGCGGTGAGTGCAGAAGCGTTCGTGGCGCTCTTTTCTGTGGAAAGAAAAGATGCGTGCTTGGCAGCAGCAGTAAAGGGCAGTCAGGGAGTGGAGAGCAGCAGGGGCGGAGGCTACGGTCGGTGTCCCAGGAAGGCCCGCCTCCTTTTACAACGGCACCCTTGAACCACCAAGCAACACAAGCGGTGTCGACCTGGAATCCGTTTTATAGTTTTGAAGCAGTTGTCTCTTGTGCCGGTAGCACGAACCTCGGAGAGCCTGCTGTTCCCCACACACTATTGCAAGCATAGATACCAGGTGAACAGCAGCAGCAGGTCGCGCGTTCTGAAAACCTCGCTGGCGATGCCAAAGCAGATGATCGCAGCTGCTGCAGCAGGACCAATAGGTTATTGTCCGCATGCAAGGTCTCCGGTTTCGCACGTCTAGTTGAAATCCGCTCATCATCCTATCGATTCACCAGTTCACTGGCAGCAGCTTCCGCGACAATGCGGAGGTGCTCGTTGCGGCGAGTCCGCAATACACCCCACGCCCACCCCTTACTGCCGTCCTTGACGAAGCCGGGACAGCAGTGTTGGATCAGCTCTGCTGTATGGACCGTATATTTTACTGCTGCAACCTCTCTGTTGGAGGCATCCGGGTGAAGGCTGTCAGCTGCTGTCTCTCTCTTTATCTCCGTCGCGCCAACTGCGCTCTTGAACCGCGTACACCTTCCAGTAGCCGCCTTCCATACCTTGTCCATGCAGAGGGAACCTTCAGCTGTACTGTAGATTGCCGCACTGCTGCTTTTTCCGCTGGCTGAGGTACCGACGCCAAGCAGTCGTTCAGAAGCGAGAGTGTTGACGCACCTTTTGCCTTATGCGCGAATGTGTGACAGCAATGTAAGACTGGTTGATTTGCCGGTGTCGTACAACCAACGGGAGTCGTAAGAGCAACCAGACACAGGGATTCAATTTTCAACAACTCTGCAGAGCCGCGCAGCAGTTGCGAGCAACTTGCCACAGATTCCCCACGCCATTTGCATACATGGGTTTCCAAATGGTAGATTACCCTTGCAGCAAAACAATGACGCTGCCGAAAATGGCGGCGTTGGAATAGTCATAGGAAACAACAATTGTTGATTTTTTTACATCGTCTTCGTCTTGCAGTAGCCAAGCTCCGAAAATGTTTGAGGGGAGTGGTATCTTGCGGCACAGTGCCAGCGACTGTAGGGCCATAGGTACCCACATGCCCCGCCGCTCGGCAGGTATTGGGAGATGGGGTAACGCGTGGAAGATGCGAACAGGACCTATATCATCGAACCTAGCGCCAACCAACGACTCCAACCAGATGCCTGCATGTCTGGTTTACCACTTGTGGGCGTAGTCTACCTGCCGAGGCGTGCGAGCCTGCACGTCTATGTATCCCCCTTTGTGATATGTATGGGAACCCCAAGGTGGAGACAACGCGACAAGAAGTTGCTTATTTCCTGTTTCTTTAAGATGATTGAGGGTCTCCGGCGGTGGAGAGGCCGTGCGGCGATTTATCGACCCGACCAGTGCCTTGCGGTTATATTTCCGAAAATGGCGGGTGAGGAACACAACCTGCGATCCCACGTCTCTTCCATTTCCCGCCACCCCGTTGTTTGCTCCTTGTTAGCACAGAACCAGTTGCATACATCGTTTAACATCTCCGTAGTACATAGTTGGCTCTGCTGGGGTTGTCCTTTCACCATGCTGCTGTGTGAACGATACTCAGATGTCAAGTGGAGAGCGAATAGGGTCGCTTGTGGCAGCCCCGCAACAATGTGTGCGGCCTAGCCAAACACACAATGCGATACATCGCGTGAGTTTGCGCAAGGCCCAAGCCACCCAACAGCGTCGGCCGAGCCCCCAAAAGATGGGATAAAGAACCTGAAAATAATCAAATAGTGTGACCCCGGCTGGTGCACCCGAAGAAAACCCGAAAGATAAAAGTAAAAGTAGAGGATCAAAATATCACGGATGACACGCACACATGCACACACTGTTTCCTACTGGTACCGTCGCTTGGGTTCTGTCAGACCAGCTAGACAAGGGTGCAATTTTTCGTCTTCTCTTTTGGAAATCTCTTGCTACAGGATCTTGAGAGAGCTACGAAAAGGGTGCGTTGCGGGAGTATCGCTGTCCCCCGGGGCCTTAGATGCTCTTTGTTCCCGGCCACAGCACCAGGGCAGAACTTCTCTTAGTCTTGGAAGGCAGGGAACCCCATACAACATTTTTGGAGGAAAAAATAGAGCCGCAGACCAGAAACAGGGGAAGTCGTTGGGACACCCCAGATAGCACCCGATGCCAACAACAACCTTGACTTTTTTTTCTATCCGAAAGGAACTCAACCAAGCGCGACTGCTGTTGCCTTCCAGACAAGAATTCGCACTTTTGCCTGCGCCACCAAGAATCATGTAGACAAATAAACATTGAAAAATTGCGAAAGCAGAAATTGGCGCACAAACTCGTCACCGTGCTCGGTGATGTTGTCGCTTCCGATCAACAGATTAACCCTCGTCGCCTCACGTGTTGCACTTCCAAGGTGTGGTTGTTTTTTGTGCTTGATAACGTTGGTCGCACGTATTGGCGAGCGTCTCCATTCTTGGTCCACTGTTTGCGACCCACTGCTCTTGACCGTTTTATGTCTCCCTCCTCCATTTCCAATTGTTTTTTTCCTGCAAATGTCGTGGTTTCGACGAACAGGTGCGCGTCCACCGCTAAGGCCATCCCCAAGGACAAGGCCATCAAGCGTTTCATCGTCAGGTTAGTCTTCCGTCAAGATGGCGAATGTATGTAGAACATGAACGTCTACCAAATGGCGGTGGGATAGTATTTTGTTGCATGTTCGTAGTATGCAAAGCGGGAAATCCTAGACACGGCAACAAGGAGACCGGGAATATTGCAGGATGTCCACTGCAATCAACTCTTGTCAGGAAAAAGGAAAACGTTAGGACATCTCGCATGTCGTCGGAAGCATGACAAAAGTACTTGTAAACGATGGTATGCATACAACGGGCTATGAGAAGGGGCCTATTGACGCGCAGCTACGCGCACCTGTGCTTTTTGCATTATTTGATCCCCAAGCACCGTTGAGTGCTGATTGTTTCCGTCATAGATGGTGGTGTGTTGTGTACCTGAGTGTCATGTCACGGGTCTGCTGTTGGTGAGTTTTTAAGTTCTTCTCGCGATACCCAGCATGCAACCTACTCTTGTGTGGGCTTGCACACGTACAACGACCGCGCATATTTCGTGCTTCTAGTGACAAGAACGAGCAGCGTTCGTGCACACGCATGCAATTCATAACTCTCAACACATCCGTCGCACACCCATGCCCAAGGTCGTTGCCAACTTCCCTCGCCGCTGGTCCCGTACCCCATTTTTCATGTGTGTGACGAGATCCCTTTGTGCTCTCGCTCACATGTACGTGCATTGGCCTTGTTGGTCACACACACACACCTGACCCCTCACCCCCCGAGCAGGAACATCGTGGACGCCTCCTCGCTCCGTGACATCCGCGAGGCGTCGGTGTTCGACAACTACGCCCTCCCCAAGCTGTACATCAAGCAGTACTACTGCGTGGAGGCCGCGGTTCACCAGCGGATCGTGCGCTCCCGCAGCGCCGAAACGCGCAGGAACCGCGACCCCCCCGTGCGGCACCGGCCCAAGCGCGACTAGGCTGACTCGACCATGGCCCGGAGGCTGAGGAACCGTCGCTAACCACGGGCTGGCTAGCAGCTAGGCTTGCGTTTGTGTGCGGTTCTTTCTCTTCCAGGGGGCGTGGAGAGCATGGGGACGGTTCGCCCTTCAGGCTGCGGCGGAATCTTTCTGTCTCGCCCGTTTAGGACGACAGCATGGCGGTCACGCGAGTTAACGGTTGGCCTATTTGACCGCAACTAGTGCTGCCGTTGTTACTGTGCCCTTGGTTGTCTTGGCGCTCCGGTTGGTGAATGGCCGCTCGTTCGCGGGGATTAGAGTCGGTTGCTGCTGGTTCTGTGGTATCTGCTGGGGTGGCTGGCACCGTTGGAATATCGGTGCCAGGTTAGCCGGCCCTGTCATCGACGGGACCGGCAAACGAAACAAAAAAAAAGGTGTCTGCGACCTGTGCTTCACGTTGTCATACTTTTTCTTGGCAATCCTTTATTTCAGTGCGCCTGCTCTATGGGCACGTGCACTGGTCTGTGCCTATGGCTATTATCCCAGAAAGTTTGCCTCTGGTCACAGCCCTTCGTGCAACATGGATGCCGTGTCTTAGGCTGCTTTCCCGTGTTGTCGCCCGTAGTTGTTGTGAGGATCGATGCGCGAGACTGTTCTGCGAGCGACTTGGGCAGGGCACGCTGTCTATGCAGCACTCACTCAACAAGGCCGACCATTGGCCTACTCGTAGTGCTTGTCAGGACCACCTGTTTCCGCGTGGCATGTTTCCGTCCCGCTCTGTCGCGCGCACACGGGCAAACGAGCAAGCGCAAAGGTGACCAAGGTCCCGAAGACGTCGTACCAGCACACTGACAAAGATCAATCTTTGGTATTTTCGAAACATCTTCGCGGCTCTCCTGCGTTACCGGCACACCTGTGCGTATATTGGTACACTTGATCCAAATCTACATTGATTCGTTGGTCGCACCGTGAGTGTTTCTAGGTCGTCTTCTGACGAGCAAGACGAGGGCTTTCATCACCATTTCGCTGTTTTTATTGTGGTTGTCGTGCATTTGTTGGCAATCAGACCCTCGTTGCTGTCAATTTTCATGGGTCTGGCAAAGCTTTGCTTGCACCGAATGAAGGTGTTTTCAAAACGAACGAACGCCGGTAATCGCACCCTGGGGCATCATGCGCCTAGTCTTCCTTTTGCGCCGCAGCCAGACAGTCTAGACAAGACCCCAGCACGAACGAATGGTGCCGGTTTCTTTTGAGATCCACACATTACGTACGTGCATGTTTTGCTGTCGCCCAGATTCTCACAACAACAGCCGTCAGGTGGCACCTCTCTCTTCACACCAGACCATTGACTTTTGCGGGCAAAGACCACCGCACATGCCAACAATGTTGTCATGGTCAAAAAAAGAAGCAAACTTCCGTATCTTACCTTCTTTCTGGGCACGACAACTACATACATTGCGTTTTGTGTGCTACAAGCAGCATGATCAGCGCGGATGCGCGGTTCGCTTTGTTTTTGCTGTTCGACGTGCTAGACAGGCGAACTTCCAGGCAAACATGAACGAACGAACACTGGTTGCATTCTGCCGTTTGGGGCACGAAACATCCATTACTGGCTTTGTGTGCTCAGACCGGCACGGATGCGCAGATATCGTACAGCAGTAATTCGCTTTTTCCGTTACATACAGTCTCAGTCTACAGTCTGTAAGACGTGCAGGCGACATTCTTCTGGGCAAAAAACATGAACCGGTTGAATTTTGCCTTTCTGGGTACGAAACATCACTGGTTTTGTGTGCTCGGACCAGCATGGATGCGCAGTTCGCTTTTGGTTTATTCGACGTGAGAAATTCTTCTGGGCAAAAAGATGAACTGCTGGCATTTTGCCGTTCTGGGCACGAAACATTACTGGTTTTGTGTAGCCGGGTCGGCGCGGATGCGCAGTTCGCTTTTTGGGGGGTTTTGGACGTGCATGGCGAATTTCCGGGCAAACATGAACTGGTAGCATTTTGCCGTTCTGGGCACGAAACACCAAACTTTTTCGTGATCGGCTCAGCGCGGATACGCAGTTCCCTTTTTTGGGTCGGAGGTATGTACGACGTTGCATACGATGCGCGATAGGGTGTTGAGCGTGTTGTGTGGCGGATCTTGTCTTGTGGATAACATCGGGGCCCCGCGGAGGTGATCATGGGGGGATCCTGCTGAAGGGAGGACCAGAGACAGACCACCACCAGACCAGCCCCCGACAGAGTCGACGACCAACTGCTGTCAAGCGACGCCGAAGGCAACACAAGCTTCATCCTCTAGTGTAGTGATAGCAACACAGAGAATCGACAGGCTTCCATAAGGGGGAGGTGCCAGAAACCAGGAGAAGACCGGAGACGCAGAGAGCAAAAGCGAGAGAGAGAGAGAGACAGAGCAGACTCGGGCTCGGTTGTGCAAACAGATTTGAAGTTTGATCGAGGATGCTTCGTTCCTCTTCACGGCTCGGCCACAAGCTCGCCAGAGCAACCAAGGTAGGCCGTTGCACCGGGGGCTGCTAGTTTGTTGTGCCTTTACTGTGCATTCGTCGGCGAAATCTCTCTGATGCCGCGGTATGTTTTCCCTTTTTCCCCCGACATCGTGTGTGGAGTGTTGCGATACTCTCCGTTGTGGAGTTTTGGTGCAGATTTCGACCAGCGCAGCAACCAAGGCCGGCAAAATGCTGACTACCTTCGAGGATAGTGCTTCTTGGTCGCATCAGCTCACACCTGTGCCCGCAGAACTGCATCGCCTCCACGGTGCTGCCTCGCTTGCTTCCTTTGCTATACAGCAGTACTTACAGCAGTAGCAGTAGGTGTACCTCTTTTGCAACGGATGTTTCCTGATGCGGCGACACTGCTGTCCCTTGTCACCCCCACGTACCCCACCGGCTGGTTGATGTAGCAGTACGCCAGTACTTGTGTTGCCGCTCGTAGATACAGCAGGTTAGCGGGGGGAGTTCTGTTTCTTAATGGGTACCACTGACGGGTGCTTCCTTGTCCTCGTCGCCGCCTGCTAGGCTTTCGTCGAAGACAGCGCGAACTGCACCAAATACGCAGCATATTCACCATTTTGGCCTGCTGCTCGGACTTGCACAACGGAGACTCTACCTGTACTACAGCAGTCGACGTGAAGATACAGATACAGACCAGATGAAATTTATCTCTCCCTCATCTCTTTGTGTCCCCGACCTCCGCACTACCTCATCATTCTTAAGCAAGGCGTACGTGTCCGGCCCGATCTATGATGTGCCGCAAGCTATGTCTCACGCTCGGTGTTCATCGTCTCAAGTGTATGCCCCACGCTATCTGTCCACTGGGGAAGATGGCGAAAGGCCGCGACCAGCAAGTGGGCCCTGGCAACCCTACCCCCCCCCCCCCCTCTACCCTTGGCAGCTGTTGATGTGTGTTGCCAGTGTACCGGTTCAGGGGTTCCTTCCTCACGTATTCCTCACGTGTTCAGAAATGAGTAACGAATACCAACCAGAAATACCCTGAACACTTGCACACCGTCCTCCCTTGTGCTCACCAAGCGAAGACACCGTGCACGCACGAGTGAACGCTGAGGCAAGCATGCATGCACGGGTTGTCTGCTCCCCGCCTGTAAATTCTGCTGCCCAACAACCTTTGCCGTGTTTTTATACCCCCGCCGAATAACGTCTCGACGCATGTACACGACGATACGACACGTGCACAACCAAACGCGCAGGGCTTGCGCGACTACCATGCCACGTCTGCGGCGAGGGTGGTGGTGGGAGGGGGAGCGCAGGAGGCCAGCGTCAACGGCGGCGACATGACCTCCAAGTACCAAATAAGTGAGTGAGCAATCTGGCAGAGAACCAATTCCCCGTCCTTACGGTAAATCCGTGTGTTGCGCTGCTGGAGTTGGCGTGACGATCGTCCGCGGATTCCGCTGCACGTGGTCTGTTTAGCTGCGGTGCTTCACATGCACACGCGGCAGTGCTAAGCGCGAAACACTGAAAGAGGTGCGCTATTCACCCACCGTGGTGTGTCGCAGCATAACTCTACACGTCCTGGACTGATTTTTTCGTCGGCCTTGAGAGATTATCTCTACAGCAGGAAAAAACGCAAGCATTGAAAAAGTCAGCTTAGGAAGAGGCATGGCCGAGAGACATACATGGGTTTTCGGGCATATAGATGAGTTGGTGTTGGAGTAGCTCTTTCGCGCCGGATAGCCATCTTCGGTAATCGCCGTGGACCCGTGTACCGTATGAGTCGGAGAGATGGCACCCCCGTGTTAGTGTTTTTTTGTAGCATATTTCTCCACAACTAGGAGGGTGCGAACCCCAACCGATACCTCTCAGGAAAGCCCTCCACGAGATGTTTCCAAAACTACCCTTTTCGGCAGTGGTACCCCCCTGGTTGTGGAAAAACACGCTATACAAAAACGCTAACACGGGGGTGCCATCTCTCCGACTCTTACGGTACATTACCTTACGCCACCTATTATAGCGATCGATATGCCATGACGCTATGCCCTTTAGCCCGTACACTCGCTGGCGGTTGAAAGAGAGAGAGAGAGAGAGATGGACGTAGAGAGTGAACCGGCGAGTCGCGTTTCCATTGTGTGTTCTCGATTCGCTGAGTTGTCTACATCCACATTGCATACGCAGCAACGATGTCGCTCCACTCAACTGCCTTTTGTTTGCCCCGTGACAGCCGAGAGCACCACGTCGGTGACGCAACACCATCGTTTCATTTCGGTCACACCCGAGAGATTCATGTCGGTCAGAGGGATGTGGTATATACACCCCTCAATGTAGGCGTCGAGTCATTTCTGGACCTCACGCGCCCCCCTCCGGCCCTCCATGGGATAGGGGGGGGAAAAACGTGAGCCACCATTAGCAACAGTAGGAAGGACCGGTGGGCCATCGGTGATCGGTCCAATGCTCCGTCCGATGGAGGCCGCGTGGTCAAGGGTCTAAC